TATGTCGCATGTTTTGTAGACCTCAGTTCAAGAATCCCGAATTTTGGATTATACCAGGCTTGTAGCGATATATAGGTACACATATTGTAGAAATTACAAGCGGAATTTTTACTAACGATACACTTATGGCAAATCTTTAGGTGAAAGATTAGCGATTAAATTAAAATTAATCCTCGAAAGATGTTTTTGAGTACTCAATTAGTTCATTTTGTTTGCAAGTTTAAGCGCCCAATGGAGGTGGTTTAATCTTAAGCACGAAATGTAAAAGTGTAAACAGCTGATGCAAACAAATTAATAAAATTTTTATAAATATAAACATTAAAATGTTCTATTTATTGATTAGTATAAATTATGGACACTTCAAAATACATTTTTTTGTTTTTAATTTAAGTTTTCATTAATTTTCATATTAAATTTACAATTGTTTTCTTCTTTTTTATAAAATATGCATTGTTTTAATAACAAACAGTGACATTTTCTGTTGTTTTGTATGGCAACACTGCGAAGTTTAATCTTGTACTCAAAAACATCAAAGGGGATTAACATAAGATTAAATTTATTTTTAGATTAAATAATTTGATTATTAATTGGCATTTGATTACCATCTCAAAAACCCGCTCTTAAAAATTATTTCATTTTTAATTTTAAAGTTTAATACATGAAAGAGTATATTTTTAGTTGATAAAAACTATGAAATTGGAAAAATCCCTACAACTTGACAATAGTAAGAAATCTTTCCCTTTTTCTCTACACGTGAAATTTTTGAAAAAAATCCCTACAAAAAGGGAAAAATCCCTACACTTGGCATCACTGTCTATAGTGTAGTCTATCCTATAATCTAGTTTAGTGTATAGTCTAGTAGACAGTTTAGTCCAGACCAGTCTAGTCTGGTCTATAGTCTGGTTTAATCAATACATTACTTTTAAATAGAATTTTTCCTGGTTTACAATTAAAATGCTTTTAATATGTTATCATAATAACTGGATGCAGCATACCCTACATATATATACATATGTAGATATGAAATATTTGTTTTCATAAAACCAACTGATGAACATCTGTCAATCCGTTCTATTTTTTTGTAGTTTTAAACTCCTACTATTGTTGCTCTATTGAGGTGATAATACGCAAGATATTGACCTTATTTTCATTTGGTTTATTTTAATAATAGTTTTCAAATCAATTTTCTATTTTAATCAATACAATTTTAAACCCTTTGTATTAGTTTAATTTAATTACACTTGGAAAGCAACACCCTTTTGGTGTCCGGCACTAAAGATTTTCTTACTAAAATTAAATTTAATTTTATTACAAATTTGTTAGTTTTCTTTTTGTTTTCATTTTACTGGTTAAGTCGTAAATGTGTAACTAAAATCAAGTTTCTGTAGCAAAAAAAGAGAAAACATTATTGCAATAAAATGTAAGTAACAGATTTGTGTAAATTTTAAATTTGTCGTACGATAAATTCTCTCTCCAGAGTTTTTAGTTGTAATTGTAAAAATAGAAAACAATTACTAACACTTAGATATATTTTTACTACTACAGTTGTATATGTATAGGTTTTTGCAGTTGTGTGTCTGTGTGTTTGTATAGACAAAAGCTCGATTGAAAATCAATCTAAATCAAATTAAACACTTAAGTACCAGTAACAAAGTTAGTACGAGTTATAGGAAAAAAATTGGGAGCTAAATTAATTTTGGTTAAAAAATAATAGATTGAATCTATGGTTATTCATTTACACACACATACACACACAGAGATACTTAACTGAATTTTTATCTGCTAGTTTAATACATATTTGTGTGTATTCTAATGCAAACATTGCAGACACACAGTCACAAAAACATTTGTGCAAAAATATCAACAAATCTAATCAAAAATTGTTGTAAATTTTACAGTGATTAAGTACAAATTGTGGTATTGAAAACAAATTTCAATTTAAGAAAAGTTTAGAGTTTTAACTACTGATAGAGACATGTTGGCCTAAATAAAGCTGGTATAGTGCAGTGTATGTTTTATATTCTAGTATATAGTCTGGCCTATAAATTCTAGTCTATAATATAGTGTATAGTCTAGGGTAAATATAATCTGAACTTCAGTCTAAAGACTGGACTCTATTATAATCTAGTCTATAGTCTAGCCTCTTGTCCAGTATAGAGTCCAGAATATAGTCTAGTCTATAGTCTAGTCTATAGTCTAGTCTATAGTCTAGTATAGTCTAGTCTATAGTCTAGTCTATAGTCTAGTCTATAGTCTAGTCTATAGTCTAGTCTATAGTAGTCTATCTAGTCTATAGTCTAGTCTATAGTCTAGTCTATAGTCTAGTCTATAGTCTAGTCTATAGTCTAGTCTATAGTCTAGTCTATAGTCTAGTCTATAGTCTAGTCTATAGTCTAGTCTATAGTCTAGTCTATAGTCTAGTCTATAGTCTAGTCTATAGTCTAGTCTATAGTCTAGTCTATAGTCTAGTCTATAGTCTAGTCTATAGTCTAGTCTATAGTCTAGTCTATAGTCTAGTCTATAGTCTAGTCTATAGTCTAGTCTATAGTCTAGTCTATAGTCTAGTCTATAGTCTAGTCTATAGTCTAGTCTATAGTCTAGTCTATAGTCTAGTCTATAGTCTAGTCTATAGTCTAGTCTATAGTCTAGTCTATAGTCTAGTCTATAGTCTAGTCTATAGTCTAGTCTATAGTCTAGTCTATAGTCTAGTCTATAGTCTAGTCTATAGTCTAGTCTATAGTCTAGTCTATAGTCTAGTCTATAGTCTAGTCTATAGTCTAGTCTATAGTCTAGTCTATAGTCTAGTCTATAGTCTAGTCTATAGTCTAGTCTATAGTCTAGTCTATAGTCTAGTCTATAGTCTAGTCTATAGTCTAGTCTATAGTCTAGTCTATAGTCTAGTCTATAGTCTAGTCTATAGTCTAGTCTATAGTCTAGTCTATAGTCTAGTCTATAGTCTAGTCTATAGTCTAGTCTATAGTCTAGTCTATAGTCTAGTCTATAGTCTAGTATATAGTCTATAGTCTAGTCTATAGTCTAGTCTATAGTCTAGTCTATAGTCTAGTCTATAGTCTAGTCTATAGTCTAGTCTATAGTCTAGTCTATAGTCTAGTCTATAGTCTAGTCTATAGTCTAGTCTATAGTCTAGTCTATAGTCTAGTCTAGTCTAGTCTATAGTCTAGTCTATAGTCTAGTCTATAGTCTAGTCTATAGTCTAGTCTATAGTCTAGTCTATAGTCTAGTCTATAGTCTAGTCTAAAGTCTAGTCTATAGTCTAGTCTATAGTCTATAGTCTAGTCTATAGTCTAGTCTATAGTCTAGTCTAGTCTATAGTCTAGTCTATAGTCTAGTCTATAGTCTAGTCTATAGTCTAGTCTATAATCTAGTCTATAGTCTAGTCTATAGTCTAGTCTATAGTCTAGTCTATAGTCTAGTCTATAGTCTAGTCTATAGTCTAGTCTATAGTCTAGTCTATAGGCTAGTCTATAGTCTAGTCTATAGTCTAGTCTATAGTCTAGTCTATAGTCTAGTCTATAGTCTAGTCTATAGTCTAGTCTATAGTCTAGTCTATAGTCTAGTCTATAGTCTAGTCTATAGTCTAGTCTATAGTCTAGTCTATAGTCTAGTCTATAGTCTAGTCTATAGTCTAGTCTATAGTCTAGTCTATAGTCTAGTCTATAGTCTAGTCTATAGTCTAGTCTATAGTCTAGTCTATAGTCTAGTCTATAGTCTAGTCTATAGTCTAGTCTATAGTCTAGTCTATAGTCTAGTCTATAGTCTAGTCTATAGTCTAGTCTATAGTCTAGTCTATAGTCTAGTCTATAGTCTAGTCTATAGTCTAGTCTATAGTCTAGTCTATAGTCTAGTCTAAAGTCTAGTCTATAGTCTAGTCTATAGTCTAGTCTATAGTCTAGTCTATAGTCTAGTCTATAGTCTATAGTCTAGTCTATAGTCTAGTCTATAGTCTAGTCTATAGTCTAGTCTATAGTCTAGTCTATAATCTAGTCTATAGTCTAGTCTATAGTCTAGTCTATAGTCTAGTCTATAGTCTAGTCTATAATCTAGTCTATAGTCTAGTCTATAGTCTAGTCTATAGTCTAGTCTATAGGCTAGTCTAGTCTAGTCTAGTCTATAGTCTAGTCTATAGTCTAGTCTATAGTCTAGTCTATAGTCTAGTCTATAGTCTAGTCTATAGTCTAGTCTATAGTCTAGTCTATAGTCTAGTCTATAGTCTAGTCTATAGTCTAGTCTATAGTCTAGTCTATAGTCTAGTCTATAGTCTAGTCTATAGTCTAGTCTATAGTCTAGTCTATAGTCTAGTCTATAGTCTAGTCTATAGTCTAGTCTATAGTCTAGTCTATAGTCTAGTCTATAGTCTAGTCTATAGTCTAGTCTATAGTCTAGTCTATAGTCTAGTCTATAGTCTAGTCTATAGTCTAGTCTATAGTCTAGTCTATAGTCTAGTATTGTCCAAAATCTGTGCATAGTGTTGTCTGTAGTTTTGAATGTGCACTGAATTAAAGTTTCTCTTAGCCCACTGTATGTTTATAACACCACCCTCTAATAAAACGAAGAAAATTAAAATCATCAATAACAAATAAAAATCATAGAAGAACAAATTTAAAGTGTTGTAATTTTATAGCAAACAATTTTGCGTAAATTTCAATTACTAACAAAATTGATTAAAAAACTTATAATAGTGGTGGCTTCAAAGTACTCAATGAAGTTGAAGATGGCAGCCATAAACAAATAAATTAGATTAAAATACATATAAATATATATAAAACTAATTTAAAAGTAACTAAATATGATGATATAAAAATAAAAACTTCAGTTTGAACTTTATAAACTAAAACAGGATGGGTTGATTTATGAAATTTTAAACTACATATATAAATAATAAGTTTATTAAACGTTAAACGATTAAAATATGCTTAAAATTAGATGGAAATCCCTTTTTATCCTTTTTGTATATTAAACAAAATTCTTCATCTTTTCAGATCGAAAAGCCTGGAAGAACGCAATCAAAATTTGATGCAAGAACTTGAGGCAGCCAACAATGAATTGGCATGTTTGCGTGATGAATGTAAAGAGCATAAATTTGAAAAGGCCGCCTTGAAGGAGGAAATAGGAGCAGTTAATACGGTAAGAATGAATGAAGAAAATTTTATATTTTCTGTAAACAAACCCGAATGACGAAATGTTTTTTCCTTTTTTGCTATTTATGCTAAAAGTTTTAAATTAGATATTCACACATACAGTGTGTGCTAATATATGAGTCGAATGATTTAGAAGTATTTTTAGAAATTTATCTCTATAGATCAAGAAGGTTCGAAAAAAGTGAAAATCTCTGCAAATATGCGTTTAAATGACAAAAAAGAAGCTCGAATTGTGATCACTGATATTTTAGAACCAAAAATCTAGATTTCATGTCAACAATCAAAAATTCTAAAAGCTTCAATAACTTGGAAAAATAAGCTCAATTTGTGATCACTAATAATTCAAGTACCTTCCTAAACATATGTATTCATACTTGCAAAATTTTCCTAAAAATAAAAAAAAATTAATAATAAACTTATGAATTTGTTTATCAAAGTTCTTTTGCCTTTTTCACACATACACACTTACACTTTCCTTATGCAAACAGCTAAACTCATATACTACAGCATTAATAGCAAAAAGGAGAGAATAAAAAGTTAAAAAAAAATGAATAGGAAACCAAACATATTTACTAAACTTTGTCTTATACAAACACTTTACGTACATCCTCCTAATTTTAATAATATTTTCAAACTCCTACACATGTGAACAGAGAATGAAAAAAAAGGAATCAAAAGTTTGTTTTCCCCTCCTAGTTCTAACGAAAAATTATTTTTCTGAATGGGCTTCAAAAATTCACATTCATGGTAATAAAAAAAAAAGAACCCAAAATATACTGCTTACCGTAGTAAGAAATATTTTATTTTAAATAGACCCGGCAGTTTTGAGGAAGTTACTAGTTACTTCATAGTATACTGGTGGCTCTCTAAGTAGTCACATACTAGTAATTATTAACAAATTTTATTTAAAATTTTTCTTGATATGAGATAACTTCTGATAAAAGTTAAAAAAACAACTCCTATAAACTCAAAAAGTTAAGCGGGATAATTTCCGTTTCTTGCACAGTGGGGTAGTAGTGATATTGTTATACATATATACCCAGCTAGCATTTTCTTTCAAAAAAGGATCTTCCGCGATTGGAGGTGGCGATTAAATTAATCTTCCACGATATCGTATTCCAATTACGAAAGTTCAACGCAACGGGAGTAACTGTGTCACAGCCGCGACTCTTCTCTATGAATCGTCTACGATGTGTTAAAAAGAGTCTTGACACAATCGTCTTAATGAATCTTCTACGATGCGATAAACAGAATCTTTACAAAATCGTCTTAATGAATCTTCTACGATGCGATAAAAAGAATTATAGAAGAGTCTTGGAACGATCGTAAAGAAGATTTTAATTGATCCTAAAATGCCTAAAAATATGCTAAAAATAAAAAGTATTGATATTCGTTTTATACTGTTTATTGCATTGGCATTTTTTGTCAACTTTAAATAAAAAAAAAAATTAAATATAAATTTGAATTCAATTATGAAAATAAATACATACATATGAATAATGGAAATAATTATGCAATAGAAAAATTATTAAAAAATAAAGTTATTTTTATAAATTTGAATTCAATTATGAAAATAAATACATACATATGAATAATGGAAATAATTATGCAATAGAAAAATTATTAAAAAATAAAGTTATTTTTCAGCCAAATCGTCAATTTTCTTGGCTTCATCAATCTTTTTGGTTCGGTCACTCTTTCTGAGACGGTCACCAGCATGAACAAAATGTTGTTGTAATACCTTATTTATACCTGCATCATCAGCTTTCGGAAATTTTGAATGGCAGACACCTTTAAAAAGAAAATAATTAGAATTCAGTAAAATCATGTTATAAAAAATACTTACTTGTTATAATTTTCGTTATATTGAATTCCTGAATACTGGGCTTACTGTTCGTTCCACGCCAACTCAATTTTGCAGCCACATCATCGCTCAGCATTTTTTAATTGCATTCCTGACAAACGAGTTGGAGCTGTCGCCACCCACTTTACCAATAACGTATTTCTGTGAAAATTTTGATATGAATATATGTATGTATATATGTATGTTTATATTAAAAAATATGTATATAGACGGATAATTATATACATACCAATTGAGCTACAATATCCACGTTCTCTTCTATTTGTTTATGTAATTCTTCCAACTGTTTTACAGTTTTTATGGGTAAAGTTGGCACTAAATTGGTTTTAATTTCCTCAGAATAAATTAATTTTAACTGACGCACTTCATTTCTTACGGTTATCACTTCCTCTGTTAGTCTGCCGATTTGCTGTTTTAGCGTGCGCACTTCTCCTAAAATCTCCGTCAACATATTTTGTTTACTATCTGAAAGAATTAATGTAATATAAAGTATAATGAATGAAATTATGACATTTATAATGTTCTTATACCTTTCTGATTATTTTATATTATAAATTTAATTTTTGATTTCTAATAAAACACTTTTTAGTTAATACACTTAGTATTTATAAGAAACTTTATTAAAAATTAAATTTTTAATTTAATAAACTTCAAAAACCACTTTTTATTCTTACTTGTCTCGACACTGATTATAAACTGAGTTGAAAAGAAGACAAAATAATTTGTTTTTGCTAAACGTTTATACGTATAACGGTAAAATTCGCCCAACTATCTCCAGAATCCGTAATCGGCGATTGTTGCGTAATATAAATAAACCGGTTTGACAATAATATATGCATCATTTGGAAGAGTAAAATATGATCGTTGACTAACAACAATCCTCCGATGATCGCTAAAATACATAAGCGACGATTAATTCGTTCAACAATCGCCAAAATTACTCGCAAAAGCATCTTTTGGTACATTAAAATATATATTTTTTTAAATAATCGTCAGGACGATTATAAAACGAGTCACAAAATGAAACAATCGTCTGGAAGATTGAAAAAAGATTCACAAAATGAGGACAATCGTGTGGACGATTAAAAAAATAGTCGCAAAATCATCGCGCTCGCCAATGAATCATGTAAATGCTAGCTGGGTAGCAGTATGTGTAAGTGTGTTTGTTAAAAATTTGTAAAAACTGTGTTGAAATTATTTGCTGAATACTTGAGTTGATTGATTTGGTTTTTATTTGCAAATTTTACAAGCTCTTGTCAAAATTTACTTAATTTTTATTATTTTCTCTTTTATTTTCATTCTTTATACGAAAATTTTGCAAATGAGTATTAGAGCGTGTGTGTGTGTGTATAAGTATTGTGCATAAGTGTGTATATTTATGTTGGTTATATTATTTTTTTTATGTGAATAAAATTTAATATTACGGTTACTTTTTCTTCAATGCCTTTATTATTTGTTAGATTAATTCTATACCCTACATTACTTTAATAAATTTGTTGGAATGTTTGTATCATCCCAATTTAATGGTCTCTCATAATGGATCGGAAAGACTTTTTGAATTGATTTTGCAAAGTCAGTCCGTCTCTGTGTCTCAGTTAACCCATTTAATGTCATACAAATGGGACCATGATATATCTATAGTCTAGTCTATAGTCTGGTCTATAGTGTAGCCTATAGTCTAGTCTATAGTCTAGTCTATAGTATAGTCTATAGTCTAGTCTATAGTCTAGTCTATAGTCTAGTCTATAGTCTAGTCTATAGTATAGTCTATAGTCTAGTCTATAGTCTAGTCTATAGTCTAGTCTATAGTCTAGTCTATAGTGTAGTCTATAGTCTAGTCTATAGTCTAGTCTATAGTCTAGTCTATAGTCTAGTCTATAGTCTAGTCTATAGTCTAGTCTATAGTCTAGTCTATAGTCTAGTCTATAGTCTAGTCTATAGTCTAGTCTATAGTCTAGTCTATAGTCTAGTCTATAGTCTAGTCTATAGTCTAGTCTATAGTCTAGTCTATAGTCTAGTCTATAGTCTAGTCTATAGTCTAGTCTATAGTCTAGTCTATAGTCTAGTCTATAGTCTAGTCTATAGTCTAGTCTATAGTCTAGTCTATAGTCTAGTCTATAGTCTAGTCTATAGTCTAGTCTATAGTCTAGTCTATAGTCTAGTCTATAGTCTAGTCTATAGTAGTCTATAGTCTAGTCTATAGTCTAGTCTATAGTCTAGTCTATAGTCTAGTCTATAGTCTAGTCTATAGTCTAGTCTATAGTCTAGTCTATAGTCTAGTCTATAGTCTAGCTATAGTCTAGTCTATAGTCTAGTCTATAGTCTAGTCTATAGTCTAGTCTATAGTCTAGTCTATAGTCTAGTCTATAGTCTAGTCTATAGTCTAGTCTATAGTCTAGTCTATAGTCTAGCTTAGTCTATAGTCCTAGTCTAGTCTATAGTCTAGGTCTATAGTCTAGGTCTATAGTCTAGTCTATAGTCTAGTCTATAGTCTAGTCTATCGTCTAGTCTATAGTCTAGTCTATAGTCTAGTCTATAGTCTAGTCTATAGTCTAGTCTATAGTCTAGTCTATAGTCTAGTCTATAGTCTAGTCTATAGTCTAGTCTATAGTCTAGTCTATAGTCTCGTCTCATAGTCTAGTCTGTCTAGTCTATAGTCTAGTTCTATAGTCTAGTCTATAGTCTAGTCTAGCTAGTCTAGTCCTATAGTCTAGTCTATAGTCTAGTCTATAGTCTAGTCTATAGTCTAGTCTATAGTCTAGTCTATAGTCTAGTCTATAGTCTAGTCTATAGTCTAGTCTATAGTCTAGTCTATAGTCTAGTCTATAGTCTAGTCTATAGTCTAGTCTATATCCTTCTATAGTCCTAGTCTATAAGTCTAGTATATAGTCTAGTCTATAGTCTAGTCTATAGTCTAGTCTATAGTCTAGTCTATAGTCTAGTCTATAGTCTAGTCTATAGTCTAGTCTATAGTCTAGTCTATAGTCTAGTCTATAGTCTAGTCTATAGTCTAGTCTATAGTCTAGTCTATAGTCTAGTCTATAGTCTAGTCTATAGTCTAGTCTATAGTCTGTCTATAGTATAGTCTATAGTCTAGTCTATAGTCTATTCTATAGTTAGTC